AAATTATTACTTAAATAAATATTACCAGCCAGTTATTCAACCAATAATATTTGATCACAGGCAAACAATCAAACCTAAGTTACATCAAATAAACAAATTGATAATCAACATAAGATAACAATCAGTCCCCGAATTCAATTGTTTCTATCCTTTCTCGATCAATTACGTACAGTTTGCTCAAAAAGTAATACTTGACTCAGTAACAAATGTATCAGGAATTAATTACATAATATAACGATGATTATTACTAGTTCCTAAACTTTTCTCTAGTTCACAATTAAAAAACCAATCCTGTTTAAGAGGGGGGACCAACTAATATGGTAGAAGCCATAAACCAAACGTCAAGTAAGACATCGCAAATGCAGTTTGTACGAATCCTCGGAATTTGAAATAAACGTGAAAAACATGAACCATGACTGAAAAAATGGATTGCAGTTACCTCATCTAGGACCTAAAGATCAGTAAAATGTACAGCTAAAGGGATCAAGAAGAATAACGTCACATTTAAAAGTTAAGCAACAAATTAAATTAAGAAAGTGTTAACTGGAGGGATTTTCACACCCATCCATATAAGACCTCCAAAATAGTTTCAACAATGAAAGTTGCAAAAAAAGAGAAGCTTCAAAAGTTTATCTGGAAGGTCCTGGTTTTTTCAAAAGATTATGATATGCACAGTTCTATTGACTATAATTTGCTCCTGGAGATATTCACTTGAAGCAATTGATGGTCAGAACCAATACAAGCATTATAAGATACGTATTTTACTCACTTTGAAGTCTTTGCTCACGTTGTGTCAGGCTCTTCAGAATATTGATGTGGTTTAGGCGATTATTTGAGTATTTTAGTGCCATGTTCATATTGTCTGAGGTAACCATCTAAACTGGATAGTACTGAAGTCAATAAATCAAAGCTGTCAAGTGTAGAACTTCCATATCGGCGTAAGTATAAGCTTACGGGTGATAGCGAAAGACTTAAAAAGAAACAGAAAACTGAGAGACTGTAAAGATCTAAATTACTTATCATCTATAACCATAGATGGGTTATGAATGAGTCGAATAGCGCATAAAATACTCTGAATTCCCAGCTTCTTTCAGAAAGCCAGTGATGTTACCTAGGTTTAAACTAGTAACAAATCTGATCATTGAACTTAATTATCGTAAAGGATGCGTAATCAGGGAAACTAAAGATGAAACACATACATAGGCAGGATACTATGATAATTAAAAGTATTCTAATTAATGTACTGACCGAGAAACCTCAAATAGTGTAATTTAAGGCAAGTAGAACTTGATGATCACAAATGAACGGTTTGTATTTGGAATTCGTAGCCAGCTGTTGATCATGTACAAAGGAATCATCATTTAGTATAGAGACCAGAGGTATGTAGAAGGTGATACAATATTTTCGCGATTTAGGTAGATAACCCCCAAATTCATTTGCCTCCGATGCCCAAAGCAACGTGTTCCTTGGTTTCTCTCCTTCTTGTTTCCTCTCAGGATTCCAAGTTGGGGCTTGACTCTTGATGCAGATTAGTGATTTCTACAATATATGTCCTATCCATCTCCTACAACTTTTCCTAATTTCCTTTTCGGATGAAAGCTGGTTCGTTCTCTCTCACAGTAGGTTGTTGTTGATGGTATTCGGTCAATGGACATTGAGTATATTGCATGGACAACTGTTTAGAATTACTTGTGCTATTCTGATGATAGTTGTGGTTGTTCTCCACGTTTCAGCTCCGTGTAGTAGAAGTGTCCTGATATTCGTATTAAAAATTCTTACTTTGATGTTCACTGACAGTTATTTTGAGTTCCACATGTTCTTCAACTGTAGGAATGCTGTCTGCTTCGGATTCCTGGTGTTAAGTTTACCTTTAGAAAACTAGGCTTAACATCAAGTGTTTTTAATATGGTAAAAAAGGCTAAAATGTCTTAGTTGGTAGCTTGACAGCAGAGTAAGCATTAGCTCGATCAGACTTACTTAGTTACTCAGGCCTGTTACCCCACTTGGAGAAGCATAGGTCACTCACCAGCATTCTCCACCCAATTCTGCACTGCTCAATGCTCTTCAGTTCTTTCCAGTTGTTACATTTCTTTGCCAGCGTCTCCGTTGTGTCATATATTTGTATCATATTTCCTTCTCTTGAAATTTATCCGCTGTCGCTGCTAGGTCTTCTACGTGTTTCTGCTTGTCAGCTCTAATGCTTCTCTTCACCCTCTTGCTTGCTTCTGTGTATTCAGCTTGTGTTTTGACATCCTTTGTTCTTGTTCAGCTGTTGTTAGCTGTTTCCTACTTGTTCTCCCTTTCTTGAATCTTGTCCAGAGTTCCGATAGAGATCTATTCTTTATGAGGATGCTTGTTGCGGCCAACACCTCCCGACACGCTGAAATTAATGCTTCTTTGATCGCTTTTCAGTTGTCCCCCATGATAGTTTCCTCTTTCAGTTGATCCTGTAAGGCTTGGGATCTGTTATCGATAGTTATCTTGAATTCGTTGAGTTTGTCAGTATATCAAAGGAAGTCTGTATTCAACCTTTGTACTGATGTTTCCCCAGTTTTCCAGTGTTTCTTTAGCTTCAGTTTCACTATGGTCACAACCAGGTGGTGATCTGGAACTATGTCAACTTCTCTCCTGATTCCCACGTCCTCCAATGCTCTTCTGAATTTTTTAGTGGTGCAAATAAGATTGACCTGATTCTCTGTTGTGTGATCCGATGATACTCATGTAGCTTTGTGTATGCGTTTGTGAATGGATATTGTGCCACTCATAACCATTTTGTTGAATGAGTATAAATTTGCGGATATCACACTATTCCCGTTCGTTTCTACCAGTTGTCCATGTCGCCCCATGGTATCCTCATGCCCAGTATTGTTCATTCTGACATCGGAGTTTAGGCCCCCCATCAGGATGGTCAGGTCTTTCTCTGGGCACTTCGCTATAATCGATTGCAGTCTCTCATAGAACTGATCGTTATTGTTGTTTTTCTATCGTTGGTGGGTGCATAACATCGGACAACATTCATCGTGACTCCCTCCTTCTTAATTTTGAGAGACGCTTTGATAATCCTGAGTCCACGAGATTCCAGTCCTATGGGTGAATTCCGTGCTTCTTTGGACAGCATCAGAACAATTCTCTGAGTGTGCTGAGTATTCTATACTTCGTGAACAGAGTAAAGAAACATCTTTTATGAATCTAACCTTTTCTGTACAGCTCGGATCCAAGGCGTTTAGCAGTTTCAGAGAGCCGCCTATTGTATCTCCTCATTTTCGATGCTGTTTGACTGGTCTTCTTGGTCTTCTACATTGCCCGAACATTCCACGTACCTATGAAAATTGTTGTTCTGGTTGCCGAGAGAGGCATCGGCTTCTTGACTTCCGAATAATCTCGACTTTCATCTGTTGTATAAGTATGTCAATATCTATAATAACGTTAAATTTCAAATATTTTAGGTTGTAAGCAGCTGATGAGAACCTAACGAAATAAAATGAATTCATATTATTCTGCACCAACCTTTGTTCTTACTCTCTTTAAAATAATAAAGGGAACTATGTGTATGAAATTTCTGAAGATGCGTCTCCCTGCACAGTCATTCAAGTCACTGAATCGCCTAGTGACAATACGCTGCAGAATATCGAGAGAAATTACCCGACTTAAGTTTTTTGATGAATGTCTCAAGTCATGCCGTTTCCCACGTCAATTCTTAAAATGTTTGCGCTCATGTAAACTTCCACCTTCTCTTAAAAACCTTCGACGCATCACAAAATCTCACATAGAATCTACAAAGTTACTGGTTGAACGTCTGAGAACAGAAACTAATGCCTTTGATGAATTAGTTAACGGTATGATTATCGTATGTCGCATAAAATTTATCAATTTTATCCAAGCATTGCAAAACAAAATAAGCAAGAACTTCCTCGTAACTTTGTCCAAGACTCTATCAAAGGAACAACTTTGTTTCGGCTTCCCAGAAAACCCTGAAAATTCCCTCTACAATCTGTCAACAGTGAAGTTAAATCAGATAGAAACAGAAGCCTTGTCTCTTGGATTTAAATTTCATATCCCCAAAACACATGCCGAAAGAATCGACACAGAAACTCAATTTGAGAATTTATTTGATCAAATTAAAGAGTTGCACCCAGTTAGCGAAGAAATGAAAGGCTGGTTTAAATCTAAACTAGTCGATATCGCAAACCAATACCTCGTCTCACCCACACCGCAATCTAAGCTGTTATCCAAAGAACACCTAACAGCACTACGAAATATTAAAAGAAATGATGATATAATGATATTACGGTCAGATAAAGGTTCAAGTGTTGTCCTAATGAACACAACAGATTATGTCTCTAAGATGAATTCCATTTGAGTGACCACACGAGATTCAAGTTGGAAAAAAGTAACAAAGACTTAACTGACTCCACCGAGAAAAGAATCACGAAAGTACTCAGAGACCTACTGAAAAAGAAGATGATCGACAATTCTACTTACAATAACCTACGACCTCGTGGGTCTCGTTTGATGTGACATCATTGTTTACAAAAATACCACTTCTTGAAACCATAGACATAATTTGTCAACATCCTGATATCCTACCTCTACCAGCAATAGAATTCAAACGACTATTACTCTTGTGTACAAAAGATGTTCAGTTCCAGTTCAACAATACTATATACCGACAAACCGATGGTGTAGCAATGGGAAGTCCGTTAGGCCCCGTCCTAGCAGACATTTTCATGGCTAACCTCGAAAGAACCAAGCTCAAAGGAGCGATTGATGAAATGATGTATTATTCGAGGTATGTTGATGATACATTCATCTTATGTAATAATCAACAACATGCAACAAATCTGTTAAAGTTTTTCAATGAAGCTCATCCAAATATTCATTTCACTATGGAACATGAAAAAGAAAACATGTTCCATTTCCTCGATATAGCGATAAAACGAAGAAAGGATGGCACAGTTCAACGCTCAGTTTATAAGAAAGACACATGGAATGGTAATTATCTCAATTTCAACAGCTTTTGTCCAATCAATTATAAAAAGGCGCTTGTTAAAACACTGTTTCATAGGACAGAAAGAATATGCACTGCAGATACAATAGAAGAGGAAATTATGAATGTTAAAAAGTGTTTAAGAAATAACGGATACCCATTGAAATTCATTGAGAAATATGGAAAACGTGAAGATAAAATACCCAAAGAAACTACAGTAAATAAAAAACCTGTTTTTATTCAACTTCAATTCAAAGGCGATAATGTCACAGGATCGATCAATATGAGACTAAAAACTGCACTGACAAAAACATATCCTGCAGCTAAACTGATTGTCCTGTCCAAAACGACATGTTCTTTGACACAATCAAAGGTCGACAGGTATCCCTTTCATGTTACCACCAACTGTATATACAAATTTACATGTATCTGCCAAAGCAGTTACATTGGTAGAACAGAAAGGAGAGCCTACGTCCGATTCAAAGAACATATTCCGAAGAGTTTGAGATCAAACGGACTAAAAGCATTCAGCAGCGCTGTCGCAAGACATCTCATTGACACAGGACACGAAGTCGATATACTGAAGTCCTTCAGGGTAATCAACAAACAATCAAATTCAAACCTTTTGAAATTCGCCGAAGCAATAGCAATCAAACGTTTAAAACCAGATCTTTGTATACAAAAAGAAACAGTAATAAATCTTTCCTTGCCCTGGTAACATTCACCCCAACCCCGTTTATTTTATTTATTTTTATTACGTCATTTCAACTCTTTCTGAATTTTATAATTACATCACTCATAACTGACCAATTTCAATTCATATCTCTCTTTATTAACATTAATCTATTTTCAGTTACTTCATTACATAATCGTCTAATGTGTTTTAATTCCATGATTTCTAATCACTATTTCAATTTTCTGGAACCTTCCCTCCCAAACTCTATATATTCGAAACAAAAAATTTGATGACCTCATTAACTCTAACGAAATCTTTACCACATTATGTTACATATATTCATCCTTCATCGCCCTCTGTTGTATAAGTATGTCAATATCTATAATAACGTTAAATTTCAAATATTTTAGGTTGTAAGCAGCTGATGAGAACCTAACGAAATAAAATGAATTCATATTATTCTGCACCAACCTTTGTTCTTACTCTCTTTAAAATAATAAAGGGAACTATGTGTATGAAATTTCTGAAGATGCGTCTCCCTGCACAGTCATTCAAGTCACTGAATCGCCTAGTGACAATACGCTGCAGAATATCGAGAGAAATACCCGACTTAAGTTTTTTGATGAATGTCTCAAGTCATGCCGTTTCCCACGTCAATTCTTAAATGTTTGCGCTCATGTAAACTTCCACCTTCTCTTAAAAACCTTCGACGCATCACAAAATCTCACATAGAATCTACAAAGTTACTGGTTGAACGTCTGAGAACAGAAACTAATGCCTTTGATGAATTAGTTAACGGTATGATTATCGTATGTCGCATAAAATTTATCAATTTTATCCAAGCATTGCAAAACAAAATAAGCAAGAACTTCCTCGTAACTTTGTCCAAGACTCTATCAAAGGAACAACTTTGTTTCGGCTTCCCAGAAAACCCTGAAAATTCCCTCTACAATCTGTCAACAGTGAAGTTAAATCAGATAGAAACAGAAGCCTTGTCTCTTGGATTTAAATTTCATATCCCCAAAACACATGCCGAAAGAATCGACACAGAAACTCAATTTGAGAATTTATTTGATCAAATTAAAGAGTTGCACCCAGTTAGCGAAGAAAAGAAAGGCTGGTTTAAATCTAAACTAGTCGATATCGCAAACCAATACCTCGTCTCACCCACACCGCAATCTAAGCTTTTATCCAAAGAACACCTAACAGCACTACGAAATATTAAACGAAATGATGATATAATGATATTACGGTCAGATAAAGGTTCAAGTGTTGTCCTAATGAACACAACAGATTATGTCTCTAAGATGAATTCCATTTTGAGTGACCACACGAGATTCAAGTTGGAAAAAAGTAACAAAGACTTAACTGACTCCACCGAGAAAAGAATCACGAAAGTACTCAGAGACCTACTGAAAAAGAAGATGATCGACAATTCTACTTACAATAACCTACGACCTCGTGGGTCTCGTTTGCCCCACATGTATGGTCTACCGAAAATACATAAACAAGATAATCCTCTTAGACCTATTATGTCAATGATCAATTCACCATACCACAAAGTTGCAAGATGGCTGGCAGATAAATTAGAACCACTTCGTCAACGATTAGCCACTTATACACTGAAGGATTCATTTGTATTTGCTGATAGCATGAATCACATGAATATTGCTGGTAAGTTTATGGTTTCGTTTGATGTGACATCATTGTTTACAAAAATACCACTTCTTGAAACCATAGACATAATTTGTCAACATCCCGATATCCTACCTCTACCAGCAATAGAATTCAAACGTCTATTACTCTTGTGTACAAAAGATGTTCAGTTCCAGTTCAACAATACTATATACCGACAAACCGATGGTGTAGCAATGGGAAGTCCGTTAGGCCCCGTCCTAGCAGACATTTTCATGGCTAACCTCGAAAGAACCAAGCTCAAAGGAGCGATTGATGAAATGATGTATTATTCGAGGTATGTTGATGATACATTCATCTTATGTAATAATCAACAACATGCAACAAATCTGTTAAAGTTTTTCAATGAAGCTCATCCAAATATTCATTTCACTATGGAACATGAAAAAGAAAACATGTTCCATTTCCTCGATATAGCGATAAAACGAAGAAAGGATGGCACAGTTCAACGCTCAGTTTATAAGAAAGACACATGGAATGGTAATTATCTCAATTTCAACAGCTTTTGTCCAATCAATTATAAAAAGGCGCTTGTTAAAACACTGTTTCATAGGACAGAAAGAATATGCACTGCAGATACAATAGAAGAGGAAATTATGAATGTTAAAAAGTGTTTAAGAAATAACGGATACCCATTGAAATTCATTGAGAAATATGGAAAACGTGAAGATAAAATACCCAAAGAAACTACAGTAAATAAAAAACCTGTTTTTATTCAACTTCAATTCAAAGGCGATAATGTCACAGGATCGATCAATATGAGACTAAAAACTGCACTGACAAAAACATATCCTGCAGCTAAACTGATTGTCCTGTCCAAAACGACATGTTCTTTGACACAATCAAAGGTCGACAGGTATCCCTTTCGTGTTACCACCAACTGTATATACAAATTTACATGTATCTGCCAAAGCAGTTACATTGGTAGAACAGAAAGGAGAGCCTACGTCCGATTCAAAGAACATATTCCGAAGAGTTTGAGATCAAACGGACTAAAAGCATTCAGCAGCGCTGTCGCAAGACATCTCATTGACACAGGACACGAAGTCGATATACTGAAGTCCTTCAGGGTAATCAACAAACAATCAAATTCAAACCTTTTGAAATTCGCCGAAGCAATAGCAATCAAACGTTTAAAACCAGATCTTTGTATACAAAAAGAAACAGTAATAAATCTTTCCTTGCCCTGGTAACATTCACCCCAACCCCGTTTATTTTATTTATTTTTATTACGTCATTTCAACTCTTTCTGAATTTTATAATTACATCACTCATAACTGACCAATTTCAATTCATATCTCTCTTTATTAACATTAATCTATTTTCAGTTACTTCATTACATAATCGTCTAATGTGTTTTAATTCCATGATTTCTAATCACTATTTCAATTTTCTGGAACCTTCCCTCCCAAACTCTATATATTCGAAACAAAAAATTTGATGACCTCATTAACTCTAACGAAATCTTTACCACATTATGTTACATATATTCATCCTTCATCGCCCTCTGTTGTATAAGTATGTCAATATCTATAATAACGTTAAATTTCAAATATTTTAGGTTGTAAGCAGCTGATGAGAACCTAACGAAATAAAATGAATTCATATTATTCTGCACCAACCTTTGTTCTTACTCTCTTTAAAATAATAAAGGGAACTATGTGTAAGAAAGAGAAGTGTTTACTCATTATTATTGGAAAATTAAGATAAGTAATGTTAATACTACAATCTATCTTTGACCCTAGTTGCAATATATTGACACTTTGTTTTTTATCCTTAATAACATCTCAGCTAACTCTATTGAACAACGGTGATGATGGAAAGCCAGTTACATAATCTGGCTGAAAGATTCTGATATGAGCATTTATATTTGATTGGGTAAAATCATAAGTTCACATCGATTGAGTGAAGCATAAGATTAACCATATACGAAGTCATCAATTCACTTCTTGCCTTAAAGAATATGTTTCAAATGGACAGAGTAAGGCAATATATATCAATAGGTATATCTGTAGAATTATGGTCTACCATGATATTAGTACTGCTTTAATAATAGATCTAATCCCAAACTTGTACATCTGTCATGATGTAACTGCCTAATCTATAAGATCTTACGTGGAAGTCACATCATTGTCTACACTGGCTCATCGTATTGTAACAATAACCAATATATGATGGAGAACATATTCAGGCTGGGATAGATCAATGTATTTAATATGAGTAAAAGATATGAGGTAACATCCAACAGGGACCGCGCCTGCAAGGCCGAGCCATGCGATTCGATCAGCTTGAGTTAAATCAATTCATTGTTCCCGCGTTCATCGCGTTAGATACTGAATATCTAGTTCCCCAGTTATCTAACGTTAAGCTTTAAGGATTGGGTGCTTCGGGCCCAATATCACCACATACCCAAGTAGATGAATAAATATTTCGCCAAAATACAAAACATCCTGTCCTAAAACTTATTCGTTTGTCAACAAACTATAGTCTCACCGACTTGTTATTCATAACCGCACTGAGCTTCCATCATATGTTCAAAAGTAAAAATAAAATCACTCAAGCCTATCCGTATCACCGGTGCAGTAATAGACGGATAACACTTGTGGTTGAAGTTTGAAATAATAGGTAAATCCGTAACAATAAAGATAAGCTGAAAACAACGTTACAATAAAATAGTAGATTACAGGCACCTTTCAGTAGACTGCCCTGAAGCTAAACAAGACAGATGTTGGTGAAAGCATATCAGATCGTAGGCATAGGTAGAAGAACGTGGGGCTGTTTAATAAGATATAACAACAATAAGACGCTGTTAATGCCGAAAAATTCTGAGTTCGGAAGTCAAGATATGGTCGAGCATATATGGCGCCAATCTCGAGGGGTCACAAAACTTCGTTTCAACGAAACTTCAGGAAAATATCAACATGTCTTGAACAGCCAACTGAAATTTGGAAATATCTCGTCCGAGAAGAATTAAACTTGAAATTCTGTTCTCCAAATTAACGGAAACGTTATGGCGCCTCATGATGAAAGTCGAGATTCTTCGGAAGTCAAGAAGCCGATGCCTCTCTCGGCAACCAGAACAACAATTTTCATAGGTACGTGGAATGTTCGGGCAATGTAGAAGACCAAGAAGACCAGTCAAACAGCATCGAAAATGAGGAGATACAATAGGCGGCTCTCTGAAACTGCTAAACGCCTTGGATCCGAGCTGTACAGAAAAGGTTAGATTCATAAAAGATGTTTCTTTACTCTGTTCACGAAGTATAGAATACTCAGCACACTCAGAGAATTGTTCTGATGCTGTCCAAAGAAGCACGGAATTCACCCATAGGACTGGAATCTCGTGGACTCAGGATTATCAAAGCGTCTCTCAAAATTAAGAAGGAGGGAGTCACGATGAATGTTGTCCGATGTTATGCACCCACCAACGATAGAAAAAACAACAATAACGATCAGTTCTATGAGAGACTGCAATCGATTATAGCGAAGTGCCCAGAGAAAGACCTGACCATCCTGATGGGGGACCTAAACTCCGATGTCAGAATGAACAATACTGGGCATGAGGATACCATGGGGCGACATGGACAACTGGTAGAAACGAACGGGAATAGTGTGATATCCGCAAATTTATACTCATTCAACAAAATGGTTATGAGTGGCACAATATCCATTCACAAACGCATACACAAAGCTACATGAGTATCATCGGATCACACAACAGAGAATCAGGTCAATCTTATTTGCACCACTAAAAAATTCAGAAGAGCATTGGAGGACGTGGGAATCAGGAGAGAAGTTGACATAGTTCCAGATCACCACCTGGTTGTGACCATAGTGAAACTGAAGCTAAAGAAACACTGGAAAACTGGGGAAACATCAGTACAAAGGTTGAATACAGACTTCCTTTGATATACTGACAAACTCAACGAATTCAAGATAACTATCGATAACAGATCCCAAGCCTTACAGGATCAACTGAAAGAGGAAACTATCATGGGGGACAACTGAAAAGCGATCAAAGAAGCATTAATTTCAGCGTGTCGGGAGGTGTTGGCCGCAACAAGCATCCTCATAAAGAATAGATCTCTATCGGAACTCTGGACAAGATTCAAGAAAGGGAGAACAAGTAGGAAACAGCTAACAACAGCTGAACAAGAACAAAGGATGTCAAAACACAAGCTGAATACACAGAAGCAAGCAAGAGGGTGAAGAGAAGCATTAGAGCTGACAAGCAGAAACACGTAGAAGACCTAGCAGCGACAGCGGATAAATTTCAAGAGAAGGAAATATGATACAAATATATGTGTGGTGTTTGAATGGACTAATGATACCTTTGTACTGGTTGAATGCTTGATTTCAAATTCTAAATACAATACATTCGTTGGTGCCTGTGTCTTCTTAATTCAATTGCGTTAATCCTGGAATTCCTAATTCATACGATAATTCGAATACTATATTGGCGTCGTGATGGAACCTGCAATGGAAAAGTTGGATATTCATTCAACTCCTGAAGCTATTGAGGATTATTTGGAAAGGTTCGAAATTTGGAGCATGACCAAGAAAGACGTTAAAGGTGAAAAAATTGTGGCACATTTTCTGACATTCATTGGGAGAGAAGCGTACAGCTTATTAAAAACTTTGGCATATCCAGAAAAACCTATCTCACTCCCTTATGCAACTCTTAAAGAGCTATTGTTAAGTCATGTAAAATGCACCAGTTTTGAATGCCGTGAAAGGGCGAAGTTTCATAAGATGGTTCGTCAAAATGACCAAAAGGTTCGGGAATTCATCCTTGAATTACAGAAACAAGCTGCCAAGTGTAATTTCGGTGATCAACTTCATGTGCAACTGAGAGATCGATTAATTGCAGGAATTAACATACCGAGTTTGGAAAGAGAGCTGTTAAGAATGCCAAACTGTTCCTTTCAAGATGCTAGAACTGCATGTATTAACTACGAAGCAGTCAATGAACTTGATATCCAGTCGATGAAGATTTCTAATACTTTGCTTAGTCGTCGTGATGAACTACAATCTCAGGGTCAATCAAACTTGCGTTCATTTAACAGTGATTCCTATTCTCGTGTAAATATGAAAGGTGTTTCAACGAGGAATTACAAAGCAAATCACAAAGGTGAGATGAAGTTTGGTAAATGTTTATCATGTGGAAAGTTTCATGCTCGCAATTCATGTGTATTTCGTAATGCTAAATGTTTTAAATGTGGTAAGGTAGGACACATTCAGTCAGTATGCAAAGCTACTGTCCATTTTGCTTCAAGCTGTACTAAATCTTGTAATTTAAATTTCAATAATTCGGATGTTTCTAGTGATCATTTATCTTTGTCTACTATTTCGAAAGGTAATGCTCATATTCAGAAGCGACTATATACATCGCTTGGTTCATTTCATGACTTTATTCTGGACACAGGCAGTATAGAGTCCATTATTTCATTCAAGAACTTGAAAGCTTTAGATCCTAACGTTGTTGTACGACCCACTGAAGTATCAATACTGGGGATTACTGGACACAGACTGCCCATACGAGGATGTTGTGAATTGCTAATCAGAGATGATAATTCTTCATACATACCTTGTGAATTTTTAGTTAGCGAAACAGGACTGTCAATATTGGGTTTAAAGAATTTGAAAAGGCTTAAGGTGGAGTTGTCCTTCTTAGTTTCTAAAGAAAATTCTGATACTTTACTTAAAGATTTGATAGCTATGTGTGCTAAGTGCAGTGGAGGTATGAAAATTAAGCCTATAAAACTTCAAGTACAGGGTGATCCCGTCTTTCTTAAAAGACGAATAATTCCTTATGGTCTTCGAGAAGCAGTACATAAGACATTAAACGATTTGTGTGTGAAAGGCATAATTGAACCAATTCAGTCTTCAGCATGGGGTACTCCTATCGTTACGCCACTGAAGTCGGACGGCAAGACCCCTAGAATTTGTGGTGACTATAGATTAACTCTGAATTCCCGTTTGTTGAAGCAAACGTGCACGACGGTAGAAGCTGAAGATATTCTAAATCGACTTCATGGTTCTAAAGTGTTCTCGAAAGTTGACCTAAAAGATGCTTATCTTCAAATTCCTTTAGATGAATCTTCATCTATTTTGACGACAATTAACACTCCTTTTGGTCTGTTCAAATACAATTTCCTTCCATTTGGTCTAAGTTGTTCTCCAGCCATATTTCAGGAAGTTATGAATAAAGTAGTTAGTGATCTTGAAGGTGTTGAAGTTTATCAAGATGATCTCATTGTTCATGGCTCTAATAAGGTAGTTCATGACCAGAGACTTATTGCTTTATTGCGTCGTTTAATTGAGAAGAATATAACAGTGAATCCAAATAAGTGTTCATTTTGTGTATCTAGTTTTGAATGCCTTGGATACCTAGTTGATGGTAATGGTTTTAGACCAGATATGAAACGACTAGCTCCACTGACTAATGCACCGTCTCCGAAAAATCTTACAGAATTACGTTCACTAGTGGGTGCTCTTCAATACTATTCCCGTTTTATTCCTAATTTTTCTTGTCGTGCAAATTGTTTATTTAATATTTTAACATCCAATTCATTCAAATGGAGTGAGGAACAAGAGTCATGCTTACGAAGTCTGCTGAAGTTTCTTCAAAGTGATGCTGTTCTTCGAACGTACTCCCCTAATGTACATTCTGTGCTTATTACTGATGCATCACCTGTGGGAATTGGTGCAGTTTTGGAACAGGAAGGTAGACCAGTTATTTGTGTTTCACGCAAACTTACTGTTACTGAACAAGGTTATTCACAGACTCAGCGAGAAGCATTAGCTGTGTTTTGGGCTGTTAAAAGACTTCATAAATATTTATTCGGAAAGAAATTCACTATTGTTACTGATCATGAAGCTTTAAAGTTTATTTATCATCCCGAAAAATCCTTAGCACGTTCCTCAGCAGCTATGGTTCAGCGATGGAGTATTGCTTTGAGTGCATATGACTATACGGTTCAGCACAGAAGTGCCAAACAGATTCAACATGTTGATTACATTTCTCGACAGTCATTACAAGATAAACCTATTAATACTTCGGATTGTTTGTTAGTGCAACCTTTACCAGTGAGACGTTCAGATCTCATTAGAGAAACTCGTAGATATTTTGGATGTATACTCAGTGCTATAAGGAAAGGTTGGAATGCTAATTTGAAACGGAGATTTCCTATCTATTTTTCAAAGCGGGATGAGTTATCTACTACTCCTGATGGTATTCTGTGTTTAAATGATCGTGTTGTCATTCCTCCTTCATTGCGTAAATCTGTTCTTGAAGATCTTCATAGTGGTCATTTAGGTGTTGAGAAAATGAAGTCCTTGGCAAGGCTCACATGCTGGTGGCCAGAGATAAATGCAGATATATGTCGTACGGCAAACAATTGTGAGAAATGTCATCAGTTGAAAAATCATCCTTCGAAGTGGGTGCCATGGCCAGTATCGTCTGAGGCCTGGCAGAGGATTCATGCTGACTATTGTGGACCATTTCTTGGTAAATACTACGCACTAGTAGTCATTGATTCTTTTTCAAAGTGGCCTGAAGTTTTTTTCACAACTTCACCAAATTCTGATTTCACAATACAAGCATTAAGAAAGGTGTTTAGTCGAGAAGGTGTTCCCTTGGTGTTGGTGACTGATAATGGCTCACATTTTGCTGCGGATGCAGTCACTACCTGGTTGAACGGTATAGGGTGCAAGCATCTATTTACTGCTCCCAGACATCCGTGTTCTAATGGTCAGGCAGAGAATTTTGTTAGGACATTAAAGACTGCTATTGATTCTATAGCCCCCTCAACATTTAATGAGCTGGAGAGGGGAGTAGATACCTTTCTATTGCAATATAGAAATGCCAAACATTCGGTGACGAAAGAGACTCCAGCGAAGCTATTGAAAGGAAGAATTCTTCGGTCGAATATGAGATGCCTAGAGTCTGCAGAAGTTACATACTATCGAGGAAATGATCTTCGACCATCTACGGGTATTGTTCTGAAGAATGTCGGAAAATCGATGGTGCGAATTCTAGACATCGATGACTTAAGTACACACAGTCGACATGTAGATCAAATACAATTTCAGGAACCAGGTGAGTCAGTTCCAATTTCGATTGTTAATTCTAATGCTAATGAGCATATTCTAGATAATACAGAATCCTTATCCAATACAATGTCAGACAGACTCAGGATGAATTTGAGAAGAAGACGTACGATTGATTACAAACACCTAGACTCCAATTTAAGCTGTGGCGGATGTGGTGTTTGAATGGACTAATGATACCTTTGTACTGGTTGAATGCTTGATTTCGAATTCTAAATACAATACATTCGTTGTTGCCTGTGTCTTCTTAATTCAATTGCGTTAATCCTGGAATTCCTAATTCATACGATAATTCGAATATCATAATATGACACAACGGAGACGCTGGCAAAGAAATGTAACAACTGGAAAGAACTGAAAAGCATTGAGCAGTGCAGAATTGGGTGGAGAATGCTGGTGAGTGACCTATGCTTCTCCAAGTGGGGTAACAGGCCTGAGTAACTAAGTAAGTCTGATCGAGCTAATGCTTACTCTGCTGTCAAGCTACCAACTAAGACATTTTAGCCTTTTTTACCATATTAAAAACACTTGATGTTAAGCCTAGTTTTCTAAAGGTAAACTTAACACCAGGAATCCGAAGCAGACAGCATTCCTACAGTTGAAGAACATGTGGAACTCAAAATAACTGTCAGTGAACATCAAAGTAAGAATTTTTAATACGAATATCAGGACACTTCTACTACACGGAGCTGAAACGTGGAGAACAACCACAACTATCATCAGAATAGCACAAGTAATTCTAAACAGTTGTCCATGCAATATACTCAATGTCCATTGACCGAATACCATCAACAACAACCTACTGTGAGAGAGAACGAACCAGCTTTCATCCGAAAAGGAAATTAGGAAAAGTTGTAGGAGATGGATAGGACATATATTGTAGAAATCACTAATCTGCATCAAGAGTCAAGCCCCAACTTGGAATCCTGAGAGGAAACAAGAAGGAGAGAAACCAAGGAACACGTTGCTTTGGGCATTGGAGGCAAACATCCAGAGAAAGAATAGCATCTGAAAACAACTGGGAAGGATTGACCAGGACAGAGTTGGGTGAAGAATGCTGGTGGGTGACGTATTTTCCTTTGTGACTGGACACAGGCCCAGGTGAATTTTTTCTTTCAATTGTTTTTCCCTTTATAGTATTCGCATTTCTGGTATAATGGTCATTTTTTATTTATAAGGCCTCAAATACGTATATTTTAAGCTTTTCATTGACACACTTTCGATTAGCTTGAGTAACCTACTTTTATCCTCCTTAATCTTTCGCGGTTAACACTGACCAAATCAGAAATGCCGAAATTATTTTGACATTACGTACATGTATATTTAGCCTTCTGATGCTGAAATCAAACTTTTTGGTCCAAATTACGAACATTGACAGAGAAATCCACTAGAAAGTTTCCACTAGGTCGCTTTGCCGATTCACTGATTGTTAACAAAGTGTGATGTTTTATTATGTAAATTCACGTGTTTTAACAAAATATGAACAAACTGTCCTTAAGTCACGAGACTGTAATACAAATATGATGGGACACTAATCTGATGCTAAGGCTGTCTCAATCACTTTATGAATAAACGTTGTGTTGCGTTATATCGGATTAATATTCTATTTTGACCTTGACCAGATTTATTTGAAAACTTCAATGTTTGTTTCGATTTTCAGTTGTCTTCCAAAGTGTTGCTTTGAAATCCACAAAAAAATCATCTGTAAATATAAGTACTCACCAAATGAATATTCTTGATGTACTGGACTTGAAGCACCTTTTAATTTTTGAGATCTTTTGTACGTATTTCTGTGTTTCAGAGACTGAGAAAATTCCCTCCTTATTCAAGTTATATGACACCAACATTTTGTTTACCCATTGTGTGTTTTCCGTACTGGTCAATAGTGTAAATTGTTATTTTCTTTTTATTGTTCCATGTGGTCTGCTTGATTGGTATATAAACAGAATATGTTTGAAATATAATTATTCATAACTCAGAGGCTGTGACTTGCGTTCTCGACTTAGATAGCTGGGCTAGAC